TAACGTGGAGTAAAAGTATCTTATCTATTCTATTATTTTATGTTTTCTTCTTTACTATAAATAGTCTTTTACCTTCTCATTTGTAATGTACAAACGTAAAATAAAGAAGAATAGATACATTAGCTCTCTCTCTCGTGACCAATCTCTCTCTCTTAAAACCATATACAAATCTTACCTATTATTTACAATACATTATCAGCACGAAACTCTAATTATATATCAAACAAGGTTATACCGGTGAGAAAGAATGCCAAACTTTGAGACTATTGATGGAGATATGTGTTTGGCAGATAATGCTACGACGCACACGATAATCAAATATAAGAAATATTTCTCCAGTCTCAAAATAAAATATTACGATGGAAGCGTAAGTACAATATCTGGTAAGGCAAAGATTATAATGGGCCCTGGAAGAGTGAAAATTTCAATGCCAAGGGGGACGATATTTGAAATAAGTAATGCATTGTACTCCCCCGAGTCTAATAGAAACTTGTTAAATTTCAAGGATATCCGAAGAAATGAATACCATATTGGGACTATGTGTAAAGATGGCATTGAATTTCTTTGCATTAAGTCCGAGGGGAAACATATATTGGAAGAATTAAAAATGTTATCCTCTGGACTATATTGTACAAGAATAAACGTGACTGAGTCCTACGCCGTGGTAAACATGAAGTTTACTGATACATTTAAAATCTGGCATGAGAGGCTAGGACATCCTGGTTCAGTCATGATGAGAAAAATAGTGCAAAATTCAAATGGCCATCCGTTGAAAGGCGGAATAATTTTGCAAACAGGCGAATTTACATGAAAAGCATGTTCTCAAAGGAAAACTTATAACTCGGCCATCACCAGTAAAAGTAGGCAATGAATCACCAATGTTTTTAGAAAGAATACATGGTGATATATGTGGGCCGATCCACCCACCGTGCGAGCCGTTTAAATATTTCATGGTATTAATTGACGCATCTAGTAGATGGTCAAATGTGTGATTTTTGACAACACGTAATACGGCTTTCGCAAAGCTCATTGCCCAAATAATAAGGCTGAGAACGCAGTTCTCAGGATATGCCATTAAGAAAGTAAGGTAAAAAAATAGAGATAATTATCCACATATATATATATATTTTATTATATAAGTTTTCTTGAGGTAAAATTATCTTGAGAAAAAGTAACGTGGAGTAAAAGTATCTTATCTATTCTATTATTTTATGTTTTCTTCTTTACTATAAGTAGCCTTTTAACTTCTCATTTGTAATGTACAAACGTGAAATAAAGAAGAATAGTTACATTAGCTCTCTCTCTCTCTCTCTCTTAAAACCATATACAAATCTCATCTATTATTTACAACATGAGGGACCCGAAAGCTCTACTTTACTACCATCAATTTTCTTAGTCTTTTATAAATAAAATTGATATTAAAATGTGTTTTAAGAAAAAAGCTAATATTTTAAAATGAAATATTAAGATTTAGATTTAAAATTTATTGATCTATTAACCATAAAAATACATTCAAAATAGAGATTTAAAATACTTAAGAAATATTATAATTGTGGAAGCCTTCTTACTCTAGTTTCGTTAACCCTTCTACCCCATAAGTTATGAATTTCAAACTTTAGAGAAGAGGAATTATGTAAATTAATAGAGAAAATATTTACAAGGGATCTTATTGAGCAGAATACTAATAAAATATGTCGAATTGTTGGCTACAAAATCGTATGTAATATCTATCGTATTTTGCAATAGTATTATTATTCGTTTGTCACAAAAAAAACATTATAAGTATAATATAATATTTAGAATTATATGTTATTAATAACACTAGATTCTTGACAAAAATGGAACTAATAAATAAGTATGATACAATTGACTAATTTACCATAAGTCAATAACAACATAACTTCCACTTGATGAGAGGGATATTACACTACGTAATAATTCATGTCTTGTGCAAAATGAGATTATGAATTTCACTATTTTTAAGATTATTTTTTATGTCTGCGTAATCTTGATACTAGGTTCGGTTTTTGTTTTGTTTTTAATCTACTAAAATATAGTTACAATTCTTAGTTAATATTTATTTTGTTATTCTGTTAAAGTGCTTGAAGTTTTTAGATTTTCCAATCATGACCAAAACTATTATTATTTGTTGAGTTTCATGTTATATTAATTTTAGACATCCATAATGTCAAATGAATGGTTTCATATTATAATTTATAAGGATATGAAAAATCAAATCAAATCTAGATAATAACTAATAATAATTATTAAGACAAATTTTTTTATTAAAACTGGTCGATGGTGAATGGAAACATTAAAATAATATTTCAGTTTCAAGAGAATTAGAATCCTCACATGTAGTGAATTATGTGTTTTTCTGCACCATGTGCAATAAAAAAATTAAAATATCTTTTTAACAGAAAAATATCTATTATATTTAAAATTAAAAATTATTAATATTTTACATTTTCTTTTTACTATCATTATTTTAATATAAATTTGATTTAATTAAAGATAAAAATTAAGATAAATAAATTTTTGTTTATTATAAATTATATTTAAGAATATGCATGTATATATTTAAAATTATAATCTTAGATAGATTTTTATTTATTTGTTTTAATTAAACATATTAAATAAATTTTTTAAAATTGCATAATTATCCAAAATTAAAATTAAAAAATATTTATAAAATTTGTAGATATATAAGAAACTAATGATTTTACTACTAAAATTTTATAACTTTCTAAAAAAATTGTATACATTTATGAAAATTTAGTTAAAATTATATAATTAAAAATATATAATTAAATGATAATTCAAAATATTTAATGCCATATTTGAATATATTTCTTTTAATGATGATTTATGAGTTATTACTACATTCTAAAAAAATTCCAAAAATATAAATCCACATTAAATGTAATATATTAGTTATTACCACATTGGTAATGCCATATTTGAATATATATATATATATATATATATATATATTTAATGATGATTTATTAATTATTATCTCATTCTTAAAAAATTTCAAAAATATAAATTGACACTAAATGTAATATATGAGTTATTACCATAGTTTAAAAACTTACCAAAAATAAAAATTAACATTAAATATAATTGTCCATGCCGTATTAATCTATAATTCCTGTCATATTATTTTTGTGAAAATGATTGTAGAGAGGACATATGCCAAAATCACTTCTCAAATAATGTATATGAGATATTTAGTTATATAGGTGCTCACGTCAAGTGCACATGTATGTAGGACTGAAAAAAATATCTATAAATTTTGATTTGATTCGTCCTCTTTTTGCGATTCGAACAAAAAAATTGAATACTCATAACTCTACGAAGAAAACTATACACTAATATGCAATATCCATAAAAATCAAAACAAATCACAAATACTAATATTTTTCAAAACGGATATTCGATCTGATCCGTTATATGTACATAAACTTAATGAAATATATATATAAGTTATATAAATAATATATTTATATAAGTTTTACCAATATTTTTATTTACTAAATTTATTAAATTAGGTATTAGTATTCAAAAAGGTAAATCAGTTTTTTTTTTAAAAAAAAAATTTGTAACAAGATTTAATTATTTTAGATTTTGATTTTTTTCCTTTATTTTACGGGTCAAAACCGGTTAAAGTATAATTTTTTAAGGAAACTGTATATTTGGATGGTTAAGAATCGAGTCGAAACGAATAATTGATTATTTAGATGAAACATATTGAATACGAATACCTCCAAAACTTTGGACATCCGATTCGTGCCTACTCTTATATGTATGTGTATGTAAGAAAATATATAAAGGTGGCTGATAAATATATAAAGATATTGTAATTAACATTAAAATAATTTTTTGTTCAAAATAACACATGAAATATAATATTTTATGAAAATAAATAAATAAAAATAAGTTTAGATAATGAATTTTTGTAAATTATTTTTTTATGTAAAATTTTTGTAACTGTGTATGTAAATTTTATATTAAAAACGTAAAATAATATATAGTGTAAAGGTATTTATGAGAATTTGGTTGAAAAACTTTGTGCATGTGATACGTTAACATAGTCGTTCGTAAATCACTATGAAATTGTCAGGTAGCAAACGTAATATGAATATATTAAATGATATTATTTCTCTTTTAATATATCTATTCCGTTTCAGAATATTTTTTCATTCTAGGCTTAATTTTTTATCACAAATTAAGTGTCGTTTTAGAGTTTCAAAGTAAATTTTATTAGTTTTTTATAATATTATATTTTCTATTAGTTGAAAAATGGTTATATGTAAAGGTAATTATATTTTTATCTTGAAAATATATAAACTTAAATATTGTTTTAATCTGTGTGTAAAAACTTAGAATAACAACTAAAACGGATGGAGTATAGAATATAGAAGAGATATGAAATTATAGATTTGGGAAACGATAAAGAAAATTAAAAACATCTTTTAGAGGGAGTAGGTTTCAAAAGGGGCCTACACTATTATTTGACGCGGTTAATTTATTTTTTTTGTTGGTTACCCATTTCTGTAGATCAATTTTTTGTCAAATATGACATTTCTCCAAAACGCATTTTTATCTTACTGTGTTTGATCTAATATGGGACGTTCGGTCAATTGTCTCAACAGATTTTGAAAAATTACGAAGGGAAAGTTCATTTTTATTGGATCTATATGGGACGGTCGGTCAATTGTCTCAACAGGATTTACTAAATTACTAAGGGAAAGTTCATTTTTATTGTTTTTTTTTTACCGTGGTATTTTATTGGTTTATAAAATCTTTTGGAAATCAATTAAGTTAAAAATAAGAAGATTTTAAAAATGAGTCAGACACACATGTCTCTATCTTTCCGAAGCCAAACTCACCATAATGATCTTTTTTTCCTTTTACAGACTCCGACAATTTGCATTCTCTGGATCCACCACTATATAAGAAGACGACAGAGCGATGCTTGAGATGAAGAGTAGACTCATCCTCAGCCACAGAGAGATAAAAGAGATAAGAATAATTATACGCAGATTGAAGAAACCATGGAGAGAAAGCCTTTTGAGGTTGAGACAACGGAGGATCACAAACCCTACTCCGCCGTCGATGGCGGTGGTTCTGACTCGGTCGATTCATTTGATGACGAGCAGGAAAAGCTCGTGTATAGAGGATGGAAAGTCATGCCTTTTATCATTGGTAACGTCTCTTTTTTTTCTCTCTCTCTCTGTCTTCAGACATTCTGTTTTTATTTTATTGTGTGTCTGCTTTCTCAACACGGTCCAGAAACTAATTAAAATGTGAAAATAAACTAGAACATGTTGTCCGTGACTTTTTTTAATGAATTTGGTTATTGAAAACGATTGAAACCCAGGTCAACCAAACTAGCGGAGATTTCTAGAGAATCTACCAGATCTAGAGAAAGATTTTTTTTCTTTATTGCAACTATCTAGAGACAGAGTTATAACAACTGCTTTCACTGAAAAAAATGCTTAAATCTTTAGAGTGAATTTGAACATTGGAGTTCAAGATTCTGACAAAAATGGATAATTTTGAATTTTGTACTCTTTAAAGACAAAGTTAGTTTCTGGGAGTTACAGCAGTTATGAAGCACTTAAAGTACAATTTTCGATTCGTGTGTGTTCAGCAGTTACAAAGTTGTGAATTAAATGTAATAAAAAGTTTGTTACTTTATGGGAGACCCGTTTTTCGGTTTGACTACTGATTCGTTAAAATGTTGAAGAAGAAATTATTAATGATTCTTGTATATTTTACAGGTAATGAGACATTTGAGAAGCTTGGGATCATTGGGACATTATCAAACCTTCTCATCTACCTAACTCAAGTATTCAACCTCAAGAAATACACAGCTGCAACCATCATCAATGCCTTTAGTGGTACTATCAACTTCGGCACTTTCCTCGCTGCTTTTCTCTGCGACACTTACTTTGGTCGCTACAAGACTCTCAGTGTTGCTGTCATCGCTTGTTTTCTGGTACTACTACTACTAGTGCTAAAATTAAATGGTTTTGTTTTAACGTCTTTTGTTTTACTAAACCATGTTCATCTTTTTTGTAGGGATCGCTTGCGATACTACTCACGGCTGCAGTTCCGGGGCTGCACCCGACCCCTTGTGGAACAAAGAGTTCATGCGAAGGGCCTAGTTTGGGCCAAATTGCGTTTCTTGGGTTGGGTTTATTACTTCTTGTGGTCGGTGCTGGTGGTATCAGGCCGTGTAACTTAGCTTTCGGTGCTGATCAGTTCAACCCCAAATCCGAATCTGGAAAGAAAGGAATCAACAGTTTCTTCAACTGGTATTTCTTCACTTTCACGTTCGCGCAGATGATTTCGCTCACGTTAGTTGTGTATATCCAGTCCAATGTGAGCTGGACCATAGGTTTGAGTATCCCTGTTGGTCTAATGTTCTTGGCTTGCGTGATTTTCTTCGCTGGACATAAACTTTATGTGAAAGTGAAAGCCTCGGGTAGTCCCTTGGCTGGTATAGCTCGTGTTATAGCTGCAGCGATCGCGAAACGAGGATTGAAGCCGGTTAAGCAGCCTTGGCTTGATCTTTACAATCACATTCCTCGTAACTATGCTAACTTAAACCTTAAATACACCGACCAGTTCAGGTAAGAATCAAACAGTCCTTTCTCTATTGCTTTATGTTTTTGGCATTTGTTTGAAAATTACCCTGGCTGGTTAACAGTCAGTCTTGACCCCCAAACTTTAACGAACATGGGTCGTATAGTCCCTAAATTGTCAAATTATCATTTTTTTTAACTAAAATATAAATATTTATGTTCTAATCTCATATTCGGCCATGCAGAATACGATAGAACTAAAAATTATTATACGATGATGTAATTTTTACCCAGTTTAAAAAATAGTCTCATATTCGGCCCGACTGGAAACTGAATATGTTGGTTTGTTGTTAGGTTTCTAGACAAAGCAGCAATAATGGCCCCTGAGGACACGTTGAACTCTGATGGGTCAGCTTCTGATCCATGGAAACTATGTACGATGCAGGAAGTGGAAGAAGTGAAGTGTATTATAAGAGTGATTCCAATCTGGTTTGCTTGCGCTATATACTCTCTAGCAATAAGCATTCAAGGGACTTATCCTGTCTTCCAAGCGCAACAGAGCGACAGGAGATTAGGCTCACGTGGCTTCAAGATTCCAGCAGCCACCTATGCAGTGTTCTTGATGACTGGTATGACGGTTTTCATCATATTCTACGACCGTGTCCTTGTCCCATCGCTTAAAAGAGTGACTGGTCTAGACACTGGTATAACACTCTTGCAAAGAATAGGAGCAGGAACCTTCTTTGCAGTGTTGAGTTTATTGGTCTCCGGGTTCGTAGAAGAACGGAGAAGAAGCATTGCGCTGACAAAACAGACTCTAGGGATGGAGCCTCGGATAGGAGAGATCTCTTCAATGTCAGCGATGTGGCTGGTTCCGCAGCTGGTTCTTGCGGGGATAGCAGAAGCTTTTGCAGCCATTGGACAAATGGAGTTTTACTACAAGCAGTTTCCTGAGAACATGAGGAGCTTTGCTGGTTCTATCTTCTATGTCGGTGCAGGTGTTTCTAGTTACCTTGCTAGCTTCTTGATCTCCACTGTTCATCGGACAACTGAACATTCACCTTCCGGGAACTGGTTAGATGAGGATCTGAACAAGGCGAAATTGGATTACTTCTATTTCATGCTCACGGGACTCATGTTTCTTAACATGGTTTACTTCTTGATAGTGGCTAAGTTTTATAGATACAAAGGCAGTGACGATAAAGGCATCTCTGCTATTGAGACCAATGGAGAAGAGACCAAGCAGCCAGACAAGAACTCGGTCTAAACTGATATCTTTTCTTTTTTAATTATTTTCGGTCTTTTACTCCAGTCTTCTCTTTGTTGTTGTACTGTACTCCTTAGATTCAAATGAATGAATGTAAAGGTGAGTCTCCTGAATACTTTAGTTAATCTTATTGGAAAACGAGTTTAAATAATGAACAAAAGTTTATCATCAGTGCGCCTACTCTTTTAACTGAAAAGCTAAAAGCTTCGAAAATGAGAAATGTGGGAACATAATCGCAAAGCATGCTTCAGAAGGGAATTTTACTCAAATAGTACGTATTTTAGGACAAATAACTAGAACCATACAAATTTTTTTTTTATTACTGTCATTTTTTAAATACCAAGCGTGCCCTCCAATTATGTTATGAGAAAAAAACGTATTTACAAAAATGCCATTACTTTTTAATGCCATATAAGCAAAAATCCGACGCCACGTAGGAATTCCCTGCCGCGTTTTCATTAAGTCAGCCATAAAGCGCTATAAATATCGTTACGGCTGGGTTATTATTACGTTGTGACTGAGTTAAAGAACGCGGCTGACTTAAGAGAAATTGGCTGACTTAAGAATATAAGTCAACCATTAGTGATGGCTGACTTACAGAAATATGGCTGATTTATGGGATAACGACTGACTTATTTACATAAGTTACGGCTGACTTATACATCGGCGGTGTGATTTCTGTAAAATCTGGCTGAGTTGTAGTTAAGACATGGCTGAGTTATGTTTCGCCGGCTGGATTAATGAACATCGCCTGGCTTAGTTATTAAATTTACGGCTGACTTATGAGAGGTTGTTACGGCTGAGTTATATTTAATCAGCTGTAACTGGCTGGATTAACAGTAAACACAACATAATTACGGCTGACTTAATAGCGAAAGATTAATTACTAGAATATCATTCATTTGACAGCTGATTTATTTGACGATATGGCTGACTTATAATTTTTCATCCTAATTATGGCTGATTTATTAGCAAAAGATTAATTACTAAAATAGTATTCATGTTTCAGCTGGTTTACGTTGTACTTGATGGCTGGTTTATTTAGGCTGAATTATGTGTTCTTTTGGTGGCTGACTTACCAATTTTCCATGTCATCATCCATGTCATCAACTCTTTCTTGCTATGTCATTACTAACATTGAAAAGATAAAATAAGGATTATACTAGAAACGCAAAGTCATATTCTTCATTCTTTATCTTCTTTATCTACCTTCTTCATCTTATTCTTCATCTTTCTCTGAGACCTTATGGATCTGGTAATTATATTTTTGCCAACTTGGTCTAAAAAACAGAGATTTAAAAAAATTAAAAATCTGAGACAGATATACTCCAGTCGTCGTCTTTGATGATAGTCGGTTGAGAAGAAGCTTCCTCTCCTCCAGTGTCATGTATGGTCTGACATCTTGCTGCTCCTTCTCCCATCGAATTCGCCGTCTTGCAGAAGAATAAATAGTCAAAGAGAGAAATGAAAAAGCTAAGTTTCATAAATTATAAGAAAAAAGAAAAAAGAGAATACGAAGAAGATGATGAATTTGAAAGTTAATTTTATATGTTTAATGACTCAGATTTTGCATCATCTGAATATCAGGTTCAAACTTAAGAAGAGATTAAAATTTTAGTATTGTGTTCAGGGTTGAATGAATGATTTATTCTCACCCAAAATACGAAACGTCGTGAAACAAATTACACTTGAAGGATGATTTATAGGAACGTTACGGCTGACTTATACCATTCATATACGTTACGGCTGAGTTATGCATACGTTAGGTCTGAGTTATGCATACTTTACGGCTGAGTTATGCATACGTTACAGCTGAGTTATGCATATTTGGCGGCTGGGTTATCATACGTTACGGCTGAGTTATAACTCATCAAATTGCAGCTGAGTTATGCATACGTTATAGATGAGTTATGCATACTTTACGGCTGAGTTTCACTCTTAACTATAAACCTAATCTCTAAACATAACCTTTAAAATTTAAAATAATAAAAATTATCAGATTTAATGTTCAAAAGATAAATTTATAATTTTATAGCTTTATAGTTCTATAGTTTAGGGTTTGAGGTTCAAATTAAGAAGGGATTAAAGTTTTAATATTCCACCCAAAATAAAAAACGTCGCGAAAAAATTACACTTGACGGCTGACTTATAGAAACGTTACGGCTGAGTTATATATATGTTATGCCTGAGTTATGCATACTTTGCGGCTGAGTAATGCATACTTTGCGGCTGAGTTATGTATACGTTACGGCTGAGTTATAACTCATCAAATTGCAGTTGAGTTATGCATACGTTAGGGCTGAGTTATGCATACTTTATGGCTGAGTTATTCCTACGTTACAGCTGAGTTATAATCAAATTATGGCTGAGTTTTGTTATAATCAAAGGCGAGTTATGGTTACAATACGACTTTGTTATAACCAAGTCAACCAAAAAAGCTTCTGAAAAGTTCAAGATTCATCATCCAAACTTAAATTAAAGTTAGAAACCAAAAGAAAATCTAAAATAAGAGTTTATAGATTAGGAATCAAGAGACATATCAGTCGCATAAACAACATAGATCTAGAAAAAAAAACAAAATTGGAGACAAATCTATTGTATTCATCGCCATCTTCGATGTTGGTTGGTTAGAGAAGAAGCTTTCTTTCCTCCAATATATGTATGGTGATCTGACATCTTGATGTTCCTTCTTGTATTGTGATCCGACATCCTGATGCTCCCTCCCTCATCGGATTCGTTGTCTTTTAGAAGAAGAAAATAGTCAAAGAGAGTGATGAAACGATTAAGTCCCGTCAATAATAAGAAAATGAGAGAATGATTTTTGACCTTTAGATTTCATTTAATCAATAGCCATAAACTGTGATCCTTGAAAAGCAAAGATTAACCAATGAGAAAGAAGGGCGAGGATAGAGAAAATGATAATTTTGAAACCTTAGATTAAAATCAATCAGTGGTCATGGTTGTGTAATGTTCCCGCCCACCCCAGTGTTTTGCAAGTATTTAGTTCCCGCCCAAAAAAAAAGAAACGTTGCGATTAAGTTACACTTTGCGGCTGAGTTATTGACATATTACGGCTGAGTTATGTTTAGGATAAGTTTACGTTTTAGGGGTTAGGGTTAATTATTTGGGGTTTAGTGTTTAGGTTTTAGGTTTTATTGTTTAGTTATCACTATAAAATATAAGAAATTACACAAATTCGGTTGAAAAAAAATATTATATGGTATACTTTGTATTTGGTGTGTTCAACACCTATATAGACACATAAGATTTTAAGTATTTGTAAGACAACATATACCTTGATCAATTCGAAACTTGTAAATTCAATGAAATATACACACTCTGTTCATTATATATTCATCTAAAATTGAGAATATTAATTTCAAATAACATATTAAAATTGAGAATATTAATTTCAATATAAGGGTATGTTTGTGGTTTGGCTGAGTTATATGAAGCGTTACGGCTGGACTATAGAACTGATACGGCTGAGTTATATTTTTTTTTTTTGATTTTAGGGTATGTTTGTGGTATGGCTGGATTATATGAAGCGTTACGGCTGACTTATAGAAATGATACGGCTGGATTTTATTAAAATTTTTTGATATTAGGGTATATTTGTGATATGGCTGAGTTATATAAAGAGATAGAGTTGGGTTATAGAAACGATACGTCTGATACATCTCATTTCTTCCTTCATCGAGGATATTTTCTGCTATCGACACTCGTATACCTTGAATATTCTTATCATTTATCTCATCACAAGTCACGCCAAGCGCCAAACATTCCACAAATTTCAATGAATACACTCCACAATCGCTAACTTGGTCATTTTTTGGAATTTATTTGTCTTTCCTCCTTCGAAACACAAACTGCATTTTATTAGGTTTTAGGAGAATGACAGGAATATTAGATTTTAGAAGCCCCTTCAGCATAATATCATAGAGGATAATCCTGTGTTTGATCTTCAGAAACATCCATCTGATCCTAGAACACACATATAAATCAACCGCAATAGAAAAATTAACTTAGTCACAATATAATACATAACTTAGCCGTAATAGAAACAAAACTCAGCCACAACATAGTATAACTCAGCCATAATACAACAAACTCAGCCACAACATAATACATAACTCAGCCGTGATAGAAACAAAACTCAGCCACAACATAGTATAACTCAGCCATAATACAACAAACTCAGCCACAACATAATACATAACTCATCCGTAATAGAAACAAAACTCAGCCACAATATAGTATAACTCAGCCATAATACAACAAACTCATCTAGAATATAATCAATAACTCAGCCGCAATAGATCACAACATACATCAAACTCAGCCACAATATAAAATAACTCATTTACAAGATAATCTATAACTCATCCACATCGTAAATCAAACTCATTCTAGATATAAGTTTGACTAAGCCACAACATACTGGAGAAGATGATACGATTGCGACGTAGATGATTATGTAGAAACTTTTGCGGAGAAGACGTTTCAACGAAGACAATATCATATACAGTTTGAGACGAGACGATTTGGGTAACAGTTAGGGTTTAACGATGAAAAAAGAAAGTTGTGATGTTATAATTTTTTTTTCTACTCACCGGAAATATGGAAATGGTTGATTTTCTCGTATCACAAAAGTTAGTGATGTGGATTGCCTAATTAGTGATGTGGATTTGATAATTAAAATTAATCTCAAAAAAAAAAAATTAAACAAGGGTCTTTATTGTAATTTCTTAGGGGTCTGAAAACATTATAGTAATTTTTAGAAAATGTATATCATTCTAGTTATATACCAACTTTTCTATACTATTCTAATAATTTTCTCAATTATAAGAACATAAAATCTTTAAGAAATGATGATTGTATATCTTTCTGTCCCCAATTTGTCACTACTGTTCAACAAATTGGGAGAAACTATTGGGAGTGTTCTAAAATCATTTGTGCTTACTCTAGTCAAAGTTATAACGTCGAGTTTCGACCTTCATATAATATTAGGTGGAAATAATGTTTTGTTAGAAACCGCTTATAATCTATGAATTGAGAATTCATTACTAATATTATATGATCCTATATGACCACACACCTAAGCAAACTAGATAAATGCTATTTTGGGTTCTAAATATTACATAATATGTATACATGTTATATA